AGAGGTGCAAATGTAGCTAAAGTAATACAAAATCACACTCTTGTTTGGATCATGCGATTAAATTGGTTTATTGTTACAGGGGAGCGTTCTAATTTTTCTTGACGCTCATATTGAGTGTACAGAAGGATGGCTTCAACCAATGCTTTCACGTATAGCTGGCGATCGTTCAGTTGTAACCGTTCCACTTATTGATGGCATCAGTTCAAATGATATGACTTATGTTGCAAATCGCTTACATATAAATGGTCTTCCCTGGAATTTGATATTCACATGGTAAGTTTCTTTGTATCAGTGAAACTTTTTGAAAGCATTGAAAGAAATTACAAAGAAAAAAAAAATAGAAAAAATTGCAAAAGTATTGTTTTATAAATGGAAGGCAAAGAAATGTGAAAAGATCAAATACTTTCATTTTTATCTAGGATGCTAGTTCCACAAAGGGAGATCATTCGAACGAAAAACAATCGAACTGCACCGCTGCGTACACCGACCCACGTTGGCTGTGCGTTCGCTATTGATCGTGACTTCTTTTTCGAAATTGGTTCATACGATGAAGGAATGGTATGTGTTTTGGAACGAATTCAAGATGTTTTTCTTATTAAAAAGATGTTTTTTTCAGGACATCTGGGGGTCCGAAAACGTCGAATTGGCTTGGAGGGTAAATATCATTTTAGCATGTATTTTTCGAAATTTATAGAATTTTTGTGGTTAAATTCTATACTTTAAAGACTTGGATGTGCGGTGGATCAATGGAAATATTGCCTTGTTCTAGAATTGCACATTTATTTAGAGTATCAACTTACTCATTTGATGGAAATTCCAACGAAATAACGACACGAAATAATAATCGTTTGATTCAAGTGTGGATGGACGAATTCAAGGATCTTATTTATGCTGCGTATCCAAGTAAGTTCATTTGGTCAAGCTGAATCAATGTTGATTATCATTATTTCATTCTTTCGTCGCAATAGACTGGGCAGCTACTCCAGCGGGAGACTTGACAGAGCGAATAAATCTAAGAAAACGTTTAAAATGTAAAAGTTTCCGATGGTACCTTGGAAACATTTATCCAGAGAGTGTTTGGCTCAAAGAGTATACCATGATGGGAAATGTAATCGAACTAACGATAATTTTTAAATCATATCATTTTTTATTTGAAATTTTATTTCAATTTTAGATAAAAAGTCTTGCCGAAAATAGATGTTTGGATAGGAATGCAAAGAATTTAATGTATCAGTGCCATGGGATTGGTTCTACACAATTTTTTGCACATACTAAATCGGGACAGCTTTTAACTGTTAACGAATTATGCATTAGCGCTTCCAAGGAGAATCCAACTGTAATTTTAACAAAGTGCGCTGACAAAGATAAATCTCAATTGTGGAACTATAATAAAGAGGTTTGTGCAACGATCTTTTCTGAAAATGATCAGAAAAATTTTAAAAAATATTATACTTTATTCGTGTTATGCAGATGCAATGGATTAAACACAGAGAAAGTGATTTATGTATGAAGAACGATAAAAGTGGTGTTATAATTGAAAAGTGTGATTCGACTGATGTTCGATTGAAATGGGAATATAAATCAACTTTGAAAAAAGCCAAATTGATTGGAATCTGATGTGATAGAAGGAAAAAGTTTCACCAATCATCGATAACATTGGTTCGAAAAATTGATAACGATAACGGAATTGCAAAACTCATGAACATTTTAATCAAAATCATGAGTAAATATGAAAAAAATGAAACTGATAAATTGTCATAACTAAACATTGAGCATTTGCTCAACTCTTTTACTTACACTCTTATATATAGACCTAGGGGGTAGACACGAATTATAAAACTTTGAATCATGTGAATCACAATGAATTAAATGAATCATTCAAATGTCAAATAAGCATCACTTTTTGTTTTACTAACATGATCGTTCAACAAATTCTAAATATTATTTTTTCATCTATTTCTTGTTTTTCTAGTAAATTGCAAATAAAATCAACCATAATGAGTTAATACATTTAAAAAAACGTCAAAAAATCATTTTTTCGAAGACGAATAATTTTAATTGTTCAATAAATATTTCTTGTATGACACCCAAATGTCATCTAAACAATGTGAATCTTTTGAATCACAATGAATCAAATGAATCATGTCTACACCCTAGATAGACATTATCTTTAACGTATTACCTATAAAACGTAACTCAATCGCAATTATGGTTTTCAATTCTCTTGTGTGTGAAAAATGACAGGAAATGCTACCAGTTGCGAAATCACATTGTTCAAAAAAATTCATCCATTTCTAAGTTCTAGATTAATGCAGTTCGCAATAAATCGATATTTTCCATTAGTTTTGTTCAATGGGAGGAAATGACAGCAAATTTTAAAATTGGCGCGCTGTTTAGTTTCGATTTGAGTTGTAAAATTACATTGACGTCCCCTTTGAAATTCGGTGCGCCACCGTCGGCTCAAAGAGACTTGAAGTCTTCACATCCTCTCATTGGTTTTGTTTCATGTATTTGAGTATTGATAGGTGTTTTTGTACTTATTAAATACACATGAGCCTAGTAAACAATGTAATCGGCAAAAATACTTTTTATCTTCATTTATTTCATTGGTTCGCTGCGTACTGATAAAAAATGTATCAAAAAAGTACCTAGCAAAAATATTGCTTAGTTCAGTCTTGTAACAAGCTTGCAGAAGTAGATATGATTCAGTTACTTCACAAAAATGTTCAAACGTGATATTTTTATAATTTCAAATAAACTAATATAAATTAATCTAGTAATAATGTTGATATTTTGCGTAAAAATAGCGCGTAGTTGCTTCAAAAAAACAGTTCAATTGCCAAAAAGTGTTTGGCTAAGTTTGATTGTAATTTTTTTAATTTATTTATGTTTTATGAATGTTTATCTAATTCGCAACACCCATGAGGTATAATACACAATGTGTTCATTCAATTTTCAATAACCAAACTAATGATTTTTAGAATTATTTTAGAAAAATGAGCTTGTTGATTCCATTGATGAGTTAAGTTCCAGTACTAGTAAAGATTCCCGTTCAAATTGGCCATTTCAAATATCTCAACATTATGATCATCAATATTTGCACAAATGGACCGAACCGACCAAGATAATTATATCAAATCCTTCGGGTCGCGGTGAAAATGGAAGTGCATTTGTTCCAACAAAAGACGAAGAAGAGCTAATGAAAGAACTGAAACAAAAACATAATTACAATGTATTAGCATCTGACAAAATCTCAACACGACGCTCTTTACAAGACCATCGTTTTCCTGAGTGTCGAAGCTTAGTTTACCCCGAAAAATTACCAAAAGCATCGGTAATAATTGTGATTCACAATGAAATATGGTCAACTCTATTTCGAACCATTTGGAGTATCATCGATCGTTCACCGCGTGAACTTATCGAAGAAATAATTTTGGTGGACGATGCAAGCACTTGGCCGCATCTTAAGCAATCATTAGACGATTACATTGTCACACTTCCCGTACGCATGAAGGTTCTTCGAATAAAAAAGCGAGAAGGATTGATAAGAGCTCGATTAATGGGCGCCAAAGAAGCATTAGTAAAAGAAATTTTTCCATTTCATCAAATTAACCGTACCAATCGAAATGTATTTGCTGTTTTAGGGGAATGTTCTCATTTTTCTTGACGCTCATATTGAGTGTACAGAAGGATGGCTCCAACCAATACTTTCACGCATAGCTAGCGATCGTTCAGTTGTAACCGTTCCACTTATTGATAGCATCAGTTCAAACGATATGAGCCATTATGCATCTGGATTGTTTATTCATGGTCTTCGGTGGTATTTAATATTTACATGGTAAATTCCCTTTTAATCAAACTGCTCTTATGAACGTTATAGCAAATGAAAAATATTTCTGAAACAAATAAACAAAACGATAAGCACGTTATGTGCAATACATTTTGTGGCATGATATCATCACACACAGCGTGTGTTGGTGCGATTACTATTAAAAATAGAATTGTTCACATGTAATACCGAATGGTTTGCTATCAATTCATAAAACAGAATATTCAAAAGATTAAAGAGAGTCATGTTTACGTGGGTATTCCCACCGTGAATAATATTTTAAATTTCGTTTCACAAATAATGACACGAAGACATTTTTGTTGACGAAAATGTTGGACTTTCAAACCATTTTTTTTTTTCGTTTTAGGATGGAAGTTCCACAAAGGGAGATCATTCGAACGAAAAACAATCAAACGTCACCGCTGCGTACACCGACCCACGTTGGCTGTGCGTTCGCTATTGATCGTGAATTCTTTTTCGAAATTGGTTCATACGATGAAGGAATGGTATGTGTCTTGGAACGAATTCAAGATGTTTTTCTTATTAAAAAGATGTTTTTTTCAGGACATATGGGGGTCCGAAAATGTCGAATTGGCTTGGAGGGTGAATATCATTTTAGCGTGTATTTTTCGAAATTTATAGAATTTTTGTGATTAAATTCAATACTTTAAAGACTTGGATGTGCGGTGGATCAATGGAGATATTGCCTTGTTCTAGAATTGGACATTTATTTAGAATATCAACTTATTCGTTTGATGGAAATGAATATGATATAAAAACACGAAACAATAACCGTTTAATCGAAGTATGGATGGATGAATTCAAGGATTATATTTATGCTGCGTATCCATGTGAGATATGAAATGTGAAAAAAATGACGTATATATTTACTATGCGTCAAATTTATCATACTAACTGAGACAATCGCGTAAATTTGTATGATCTGGCATGAAATTGAATGAATTAACTTTGTATATACACAAAATGAGTGATCCACCTTAATCAAATATTTTGATAATGTGATAATTTCAGTTGGCTTGATAAATTTGATATTGTAGTAATGCCAGAGCATGATATCGCACTTGTAAAGCAACACGCTCACTTAGTAAGCGCATTACTACAGAAGCGCTCTTATCAGGAGCCGCTCATAAGTTCGTATTAGTACACAGCTCACACTGATACAAACGACAGTAATCAAACTAACACATACATATCTAAAAACGGCTCCCAGCAAGCTTCTTGAGTAACAATTTCATGTTCTGGGTCATGCTGATCCTTCTCCATGTTGATTTAAAAAAATCAAAAATACATTTTAATGAACGGTCCAGAATTGGAATGAACTGGGATTGGGAGCACAAAAAATGTATTTAAAAAATATTTTCGAAAACTTCATTCCAATTTCTGCCCATTCAAATGAATTTCAGATAATTAAAATAAATAATTTGGTTTTTAATGACTTATCAAATGACAGCATCAAAAAAGGTTTCGCCCGGAGATTTGACAGAACGAAAAAATCTAAGAAAACGTTTAAAGTGTAAAAGTTTTCGATGGTATCTACAGAATGTTTATCCAGAAAGTGTTTGGCTCAAAGAGTATACTATGATGGGAAATGTAATCGAACAAACGATCATTTTAAAAGTCGTATCATTCACATTTGAAATTTTATTTCCAGATAAAAAGTGTTGTTGAAAACAAATGTTTGGATTCAAATGCGGGTCAATTGATTTATCAATGCCATGGATTGGGAGGCACGCAATTTTTTGCACTCACTAAATCTGGGCAGTTTGTAACAGTTGAGGAAATGTGTGTTGGTGTTTCGAAAGAGAACAGATCTGTTATTTTAATTCAATGTGCCGAAGAAGATAAGTCTCAATTGTGGAACTATAATAAAGAGGTTGTTGTAATGTAATTTTGTATGAAAATGAACACAAAAATTGAAATATCTTTCATTTATATAGATGCAATGGATTCGACACAATGAAAGTGAACTCTGTATGAAGAACAACCAAACGAGTGTTATACTGGAAAAATGCAGCACAACTGATATTCGATTGAAATGGGAATACAAAACAAATCTATAAAAAAAAGTGAAGTCGAATTGATAATAAAATTAGATCGTCATAAAAGAAATGTCAGCAATTGATTACGCTCGGTCAATAAATTGATAATGATAATTGAATTAATAGACTAAATACAAAAATTGCCCCTGGTTTCAAGGCTTGATACAGCGCCTTTGAATTTATTATGACATTTTATAAGTTGTATCCGAGTGAAAACAGTAGTTTTATATAATGAATGTATGACTTCGATGTACCGTTCATCATGAAACACAGTAATTCGAATACATAGTGAGACACATTCAAAAAAAGGTATTAGTAAAAAGTTTTTGATTAAGTAAAGCTGGTGTTGTCTCAGTTAATCTTCAGTTGTGATAAGAGGGCCCGAGAACTGAATGCTAATTATGTATATTTTGTAATGGTGTTGATCCTCGATTTCAATGTAGCTTGTTCATTTTGTTACTAATTTAAAACGCATATAGTTCAAAATTCGCATTAAATCTACTAAAGTTGATAAGTTGAATTGTCTAAAGGTCTTTCCGATTATTCTACATACACATGTTTGTTTGCTGATCATTGTATAGAATTCAGTATTTACTTGACAGCACAACAGTTAACATCACACATTCGATCTATGTGTCAGTTGAATGTTTTATTTGAATATGGTTAGGATTAATCTTTTGATCATCAGCACGAAGAAACGAAAATATAAAGAGGTGTGAATGGTGGCAGTAGTTTTCCTTTGAATTTTAGCATTCAAAACTGTAATCAATATTTGAATTAAGCTATACTTTCGAAAAGTGTGTGATAATTCATAATTTAATCAGCAAAAAATTTTGTATAAAGTAATCAATCGGTGGAATTTAACATAAATCAAATTGAACAAAACATAAGTGCAAAAATGTCAAAGGTTTTCGTACTTCCGATTGCTGTGTGTTTGTTGTGCTTGTTCACATTTTTCGGTACAAGTTTCGTGGCAATTTTATTGGGCCATGTGTCCAATACCACCAGTACAACGTCTGCGCTTTATATTAGCGATGGTGCAACATTTTCTCCGGAAAGTTGTGTTTTTGGCCAATTTGTAAATATGGGCGCCGTGTTGCTTGGAATCGTGATTTATGTAAGTGCCATATTTGGAAAAACCAATTGTTTCACTAAAAAAAAAAAAAATTCGATTTCATCCATCACTAGATTCGATATCGTCAAATTGAAGAGTTAATGTACGATTACACCAATCTCATCAAATCGATGACAAACATGAATAAAACGGCAATGTGGTTTGGTTATTTGACGTGTCTGGGATTAAGTATGGTGGCAAATTTTCAAATAACAAATGTGCCGATCATTCATTATTTAGGAGCTCTATCTTGTTTCGGTTCCGGATGTGTGTACATTTGGATACAAGGGCACATTACATATCATGCTCGTGCATACACTGCTTCAACGCAAATGGCATATCTGCGATTCGGTCTGGCCGCGTTGTGCACATACTTTTTCTTCGTTGCAATACTAACCAATTGTGAAACTTTACGAGTGCTATTCGATGAACAACCACCGAAAGATTGTAAATACCATCAAGTTAGTGTTTCATCTGAATGGCTGGTCGCATCCATACTGTGCTTTTATGTGCTATCGTTTACCGGAGAATTTCGGCAAATTACGTTAAACCATCCAAAAATTATTTTAGTCAAAAGTGAAAATAGTAGTATAACTGAATCGAGTCAAGCTACTGAATCGGTATCATTTTCCATTGATATCGCATCGTCGTTTTCGACCAATTTGAATGGATGCAGTTATATTGAAACTCATGTTCAACTTAACAACGCTTCATCGAATCAAAAAGATTCAAACATTTGAATAATTTGTATATATTAATAGTGCTTCGACTGGCAACTTTAAACGTAGTGGAAACTTAATGCACCACAGTTATGTTATAAAATGGAATTTATACTAAACACATTATTATATAAGATTCGATCTCAAAGTATTCCAAAAACAAAACATATATAAAATATATGTAAAATGTTCAAATGTCAAAAAGTCATCGTAATATACGTAGATAAGTCCAAATTGTATTCAACGATTTTTTCCAAATAAAGAAAGGTCCGATTTATTTCAAATGTTGGATGTTTTTCTCACAGAATATCATATTTACAGAGATTTTAAAAATTTATTATGAAAATTGAGGTGTATGTTTAAAAATGGGAACGTGGAACTCAAAATCAATCAAAATGTATATGGAAAGTATCTTTTGGTTTTGTTTATGACTGTAATTTAGTTTTTTTTCGGAAGCTTGGACCTCCGTATGGATTTTATGATTCACGAAATGATAATCTGTGTCTTTCCCATCAAAAAAATTACAAGTGTAATTGGATTGCAATAGTAAACGTAGCGAGTGCATCATTCACTCATTGAAATGGAGAAGCTCAACTTGCATGTTTTCCATATGTTCTGATTCGATTCATTACGTTTTCTTGGCCTTGTTTTGAAGTAAACAACAAAAGAGAATAATTAAGAAACTCAGACCTTCACATTGGCGGATGTTATGGTTGACAAAATGAAAGTGGTATCTTTCACTCTGTTTTCGATTAGGTGTACCAACTGCAGTTGTGTTTTTTCCGATTAAAAACATTTCAAGTGTAAATTTAAAATTAAATGAAATGAAACCGCTAACTCCAATCAATTCAAATCAAATGAAATAAAATGTTGTTCAAATTTCTCAGTACTGTCGTTCATGTTTATCAATTGATTTTTTAGTTTAAATGGATTTCTGCTCGAAATACATACAAAATATTGACATTAAATAAGTCTATTTTGCTATCACAATATAATGGTGTTTTTATTTAATTTGATTTGAATTTCAAGTGTAATTGGATTGCAATTAAAACTGCCGCCAGTACATCATTTACGCCTTAAAAAAGCTCAACGGTCACTTTAACACGCGGTGCAATTCGCATGCGTGGATAAATGGAAATCAATAATTTTGTTTGAGATTAAAAGCGCAAAACAAGAAGCATTTTGATTCAGTTTTATTGTGAGTGTCATCCAATTTAAAAGGAAAATGTTTAAAAAACTCATTGAAAAATATAATGGAGTGAAATCGGATTACTTGAATCGAAGTCCAAAGGGAAAAGTGAAGTTTATAAGATCTATTGCTAAGTTTCTAGCTACAATGGTTGGGTCTCGAATTTTCCATCGTAAATATGAAATCTACTGGTATACGTTTCTACCACTGGTCGGTGTTGTCGACATTGTGGCATCGTTCTTTTACACTGTCAGGTATTACTATGTTAGAGGACATATAAATTTTTGTAGACATATAAATTGATTTATTTATTTTGCTGTAGGGTGATTACTCTAGTGGTCTGGGCCCTGCATATCTCACTTACATTCAGTTATATATTTTATGCGATATTGGAAATGACGTTGACTTATCGGTAAGACATTTTATGAAAGTCGATTTCACATTGATCTGGTTTTTAAATAGTCACCAATTTTATCTAGAATAAAATGTTGATTGACAAACTTCAACAAATGCCATGGTATTTGATGTCACCACAGAAACAAAGGAGCTATGCTCATGTGCTCAATCGCCTGCAGAATGGTGCTATTCTTCAAATTGGACCGTTTGCAGTGCTTAACTTTGAAACCTTTTCTGATGTAAGTTAGCTTTCCACGTTCTATTTCACTTTCACTTTCTTCAAGCGTTCAGAAAGACATACATTTATGCGAGCGATTGAATGATGCTTGCATCATTTGATGCGCATCGATTGTGCTGTTGCCATACAATCGGATCTTCGGCAGCGCACGAAGTGCTCCGAACGCACAACGAAAGCACTAGCGATGCGCATCAAATGATGCAAGCATCATTCAATTGCTCGCATAAATGTATGTCTTTCTGAACGCTTGACTTTCCTAAATGTAGTATTTATTCATATTTAAACTATTTTTTTAGTTGACCAACAGAATTTACAGTTTTTTGATGATGTTGACTAGATTTGTGAAGTGAACAACGGCTGGTTTTAAACTGGCAATACACGTATGAAAATTGAAGTAAGGACGGAATGCAAAAAGGTGCAACCGTTTGAAATGACCATACATGGTAATTTTATAATATTCATGTCAGTAATGTGCGAAGGGGGGGGGGGGGTTTACCCCCCCCTGTGATTTGGATGAGAAAATTTTTTTCGCGAAAATTATTGGAATTTGCTAGAGTTTTTCATGAAAAAAGTGAAGACCTTTTTTTTTTTTTAGCTCATCAATGTAGAAAATTGAGGAGAATTCTTAAAATTTGCTAGGGTTTTTGGTTCCGAGAGATTTTTTTCCGATTTGCTAAGGTTTTTCGCGGAGAAAATTCTTTCGATTTGCTAGGGATTTTCGCCTCAAAAAGTGACTTCCAAAAGAAAAAAAAAAAAAAACGAAAATTTGTTTGATTTGCTAGAGAATTTTTGGTTTTTGAAAAATCACCCCCCCCCCTGTAAAATGTAGCTCGCACATTACTGATTCATGTATAGTTTTCTAGATTTTTTGCACTCGTCTCTGATAAAAAAAACTAGAGACGTTTTATTTATTTATTTATGTGATTTTAATGTCTACCAAAACTAGCCGACAGTTACATTGCAAATTTATATTTTACATTTATGCAATATGTATTTTAATTGTAGCACTTACAATTAATGATTCTTAATTCCGGAAATTGCAGTGGTACTTACGGAATCTTAATTATAAACCAATTACACTTGAAACCTTTTGAATAGCAAAGAACGCCACTTTTTTGAATCGTTTGAATCATTGTCGATTATTGTACGCTATTCCTTATGGGTTCATTTTCATGTGGTTTCAGTTGTAATGCAATTTTTCGAATTAAAATTGACTTCTGAAGGCAACGAAATTCAAAATGATAAATAAAAACAAACACAAATATTTATCATAAGCACTGATTCGATTGTTCAAGTAAGCTGCCGCTTCAGTAAATATCGAAAAATTGAGTATTGATTATACAAACAGCAAATTGATGAAAAATATGGAAAAATATTTATATGAACAAATTCCATAGCTGATTCACCGTTCCGTATTTCATTCTGTAATAAAAAAGACTAAATATTCAGAGATAAGCAATCCAATTTGACGCAAATAATTGATTCTAAACGGTTTTGCTTTGCAATATAAACGGAACCAAAATAAACATTTTATACTGTACAAAGCAAACTTATATACGTAAGTGTACACCACTTGTTGAACTATCGAGCATTTGAAACCAATTTGATAATTTCCATTATATTTACATAAAATAAATTATTCTTTTGAAAACATTCATGTATTAAGTTGATATCACAGTTTTACAGCAATATTTGGTTTGACATCAAACCACTGTGTTCAGTAAACACAGTTTAATGACGTTCGATGTCTTATAAGTAACATTATTTACATACAAACGACTTTATTCTCAATAAATCCAATGATGACTTTTAATGCCATCTTTTTTTAAATTAATTTTAAAATCATGTGTACAAGCTGATGCGCACATGTTTAATATTTTTCGTTTTTTGCAATATACTGACTAGACTGGAAATAACGTGTATGCAGTAATTTAATTACAACTAATATTTTTTGTTACACGCGATGCAGACGATGAGATTAACGAAAAACAAAATTATTTAATCTTCTTACAACTTCTTCCGACGACTGATTTGTTTGATTTAGTTTGTGTGTCGTATTCAAGATCTGCATTGAGCGAATTTCGAAAGAGATTGATTTGATGCAATCATTTACGTCACTTATTCACGTTATCTAACAACGCCTTACATTATCGCGTAGAGATTAACAAACGGAAATTGGCAACGCGTTGAGGATAATGTATGCAGTGGCTTATTCACTGCTGATTATGACTTAAATTGTATGGAAACATTGTATGACCATATGAATGTTATTCACATGGAGTTTTGTATCACATAAATTATATTATTTATTAATTCAAACAAAAGTTGAGTTCAGACTATAATTGTGACCGGGTAAAATTGTCACCAAGAGGCATTAGATTAGTTAAAAAAAACTTTCTATAATTTTGCTTGACTCAAGATAAATATATCTTCTTTCTTAAGAGGCCAGGTTGTCTTTTATATTTCCTTTTCAATGATGATCATTTTGCTAGTTATTTTGTACCCATCCAAATAGAGTGCTAATTTTAATATTGTTGTGGTATACACTACATTTCAGCTATTTTCAACTGATTATAATTTGAATATATTTAACAGATAAAGTGAAAAGTACTTGATTGTCAACTATACGTAAACGTTTTACTTTAATATTGTACTCAACTCACTCACATACTTTAGATTTGACTTTGACGTCTCAAATATAAACAATGGATGTTTTACAGATCTCTTTTTGATTATTTATCGTTATGTACAAGTTTAATTGTAGTTGTGCAGTTTGCGTGAAAAACAGCTATTTGAACCGAGGATACTGATAAATATAGCGTAATGAAGAACTCCAGAGTCATAATCCTTGAAAGCGAATATGAGACTTGAATGTAAAATAATATGCGTTTTACTATAAATACATGAAACACTAGCGCATATTTAGACAGTGTTAATTCATTAACATTGGCACAATATTATTTCTAAGCAAAATTCCAAAGCAATTTTTAACATGTGAATCAGAAGACTTGCAACATTTAAACATGACATGTATGATGATAGTTCAAGCTTAAGTAATATAAAAATCATACCACATATTTGTAAGAAGTATATGTCAGCGATACGTTTTGGATGCTGATTCACATCGCATTTGATATTTAATTATACCATATCTGCACAAGGGAAACATTTATCAACATTGTTCTAAAAAAAACATTTTCATATCACATGGCTGTACTCTGGTTTTTCCGTAATCAAAACTTTTTTGCTGATAAATGATTAGTAACAGCTTATAACAATTATTTCTCATAAGTTTTTTGGAATTTGGTGGGTGGGCGTGGGGCTATATGACGATAACATCAAAATAAAATGTATACTAGAGTTATGAGCCAGGCGTCAATCACTATTTCTCATTCTACACCGAACGTATCGTAAGTGGTGCAGCATTAAATAAAATAGTTAAATGAGTTTTCAATAAAGCTCAAATAAATGAGTTGAAATTTAAATTGTGTGCATCAAAATGTCAAAAGTTTATTTGATTCCAATTTTTGCGTGTATCGTGACTCAAGCCACATTCAGTGGAATACTTTGGTTGTCACATCATAATGATGGTTCAACGAATACACTGGAATCTTGTATTTTCAGCCAATTAATAAATATGTGCTCGGTTTTAATCGGGATTGTTGTATATCTTCGACATCGTCAAGTTAATGAAATAATATCAAGCTATGACTACATTGAAAATTTTGTAATGATCGAAAACGAAATTTCAACGTGGTTGGGTTATGGTAGTTCATTGGGACTAAGTGTAGCGGCAAACTTCCATCAATTAAACTCACCTATGGTTTATTATATCGGTGGATTCATCTGGCTCTCTTTCGGAGCTGTCTATACTGTATTACAAGGCTACGTTTCATTTTACATTTCTTCATATATCGCATCAAAATACATGGCTTTCTTAAGGATGGCTGTTGGTTTCCTATATGCATTCTTCCTTTTCGCTGCACTATCATCCAGTTGTGCGGTTGTTCGTTTTTATGGCACAGCTGAGGATTTAAAGGAGTGCACCAGCTTTGACGCTTTATTTAAATGGATTGCGGCCGCATTTTTCAACATATTTTTATTGTCATTTTTAAGGGAATTCGCAGACATATAAAAATTCTAACTTTTCGATGTGAAAGAAAAGCGTACAGTGAGACAATACTGTTATTCGAAAGAATTTTCAATTTTTTTTATTTATTAAAGAACACATCTTTCTTTTTTTTTCATCACATAAACCATAATCGAATGGAATTATTTTTTATAAATATTTTTTTATGCGCAAAAGGCCACAATTGACATATCTAGCGATACCTGCAAATTCACAGCTCGTTGATGCAGTATTATTAAATCCATATGACTTATATTTTAATAAAACATTTAAAAAAAACTAATCAAATAATCGGTAATTCATTTGCACTGAAATACTTGTGATTTTTTTGCCATAAATAAAAAATCGAATACTGAGACAAAATAATAAATAAATCAAACTATCTGTTAGTGCTGCGATTGGTTTTGGTTTCTTCTAGTTGAAATTTGGTGAATGACAAAAATACTTGTTCCAGCGACGTTTGACTGATTGAATAATCTTCGATGTGTAGAATTTGTTTTGCTTTTTCCAATAATCCAAACATTGATGACCATTTCATTTTGTTATTTGGTGGCACGTAATATGTTAAAAGACCTTGATATTCCTCTCTGTAAAAAGGACAAATTGAGGGTGTGTTCGAATTTGAAATTCTCTGCTTTGAATGCACTTACTTTAGATCGGCGCCAAAGAAGTTTCGTTCTATAAATTCCTTGATTCGAATCACCTTCAAATGTAGCTGATTCTCTATATGAGTGTCGCCAACGGCAGAATCGATACTAAATCGGTACAAACAAATATATCAACAAATTAAACATTTGAGCAAAATTTCAGTTTCAAAGTTCATCCATTTCATATTAAGAAACGTGCAAAAAAAATCTATCTAATACTAAGTGCGTTTTTTTAAACTAAGTGTTTTATGTGCAGCAAACAATAAAAATCTTTACCTTCCGTTGACACTTCTATATTTTATCAGTTCTCCAAGAACATCTTCAAAACTTTTACTTTATTAAAAAAAAAAGCCAAATACGAGGAAAAAAACATATAAAAGCCAAAGAAATCAAACGTTTTTCATGCAAAATGGAAATTTAAAAGAAAGCTCACGAAAAAAGCACGCAAAAAATCACTATATCTAACAAATAAAAACTTACTCGTAATCAGTTGTTTTCTGCACTTTAACCGTAAGTAAAAAGCCTTTCGAGAATTTGTTCTTCAAATGTTGTGTTGATCCAAGACATTTGAATTCCCCGTTTACCATAATTGCCAGGCGCGTACAAAGAGCCTCACATTCCTCCATACTGTGGGATGTTAACACGATGGATTTACCTGTACCACGAACTTTCGAAATCATATTCCAAAGATTCCTTTGATCACAAAGTTAGTAAAAGTATAAAAATTATTAAGTTATTATTATTTAACATTCTTCGTCTTAATAAACACTCATAAGATATATATGCTAAACCAAATACACCAAAATAATCCATGAGCAATTATTTTTTAAAAAACTTACCGTTTGGCACCCGGGTCCTATGTAAATTTAAATTTAATATTATTATTTTTTAAATTAATTTTATTTTGAAAAACATCTTTTTAGTAAGAAAAACATCTTAAATTCGTTCCAAGACACATACCATTCCTTCGTCGTATGAACCAATTTCGAAAAAGAAGTCACGATCAATAGCGAACGCACAACCAACGTGGGTCGGTGTACGCAGCGGTGACGCCAAAAAATTATGACATTTTAGAATGGTTAAGAGAAAATAATTATAGAATTGTTCGTTATTGTACTCACCAGTTGTTGGTTCATCTGTAGGAAATAAAAAGGAGAAGAGAATTTATAAACATTAAAAACATGTATTCAATTGCAAAGCATCACAATCTTACCCAAATAAACTAAAACCGGATTGCCGATCAGAGCAACAGCTGTACTCAGCTTTCTCTTATTACCACCCGAATATTCGTCAACTCTTTTGTTAATATGTTTCATGAAATTCAATTCGTTTGCTAGGCGTTCAGTTAGTGCAGGTATATTTGTTGGATGAATTCCTCGCAGTAGCGCAAACAGTTCCAATGTCTCGGCACCAGTTAAATCTTCAAGAAGTGCATCGAATTGTGGACAATATCCGATTACTTTATGCACCTCTGGCATATTTGACTTCAAACTAATGCCCCGCACATATGCTTCGCCATTGGAAATTCTCGTGTCACCGGTAAGCATTTTAAAGGTTGACGTTTTACCAGCCCCATTGACACCAAGCAGGCCAAAACATTCAGCTCTGTTGATTATTACATTGAAAATTGAACATTTTTTTCTTGTCTAAATTTGTATTTAGAATGATTTGTCATACCTTTTAACTGCGATGGATATTTGGTTGACGGCCAAAAATTTACCGTAAAACTTCGAAAGACTTGATAAAACTAGGCTGTGTGTTTGTAAATCGTTCATGGTCATTCCGTTGACTTTTCGTTTTTCATCGTTGACATCATCATCAATCTCTCCATCTTGTGAGATTGGCGGTAGTTTGCGTTCAAAGAAGCTATGGATGAAATAAATCACACCAGCAAACACTCGATATTCGATTATCAACAGAATTAGCAGGAAAACAATTCCCGTTACAAACATATATGTTAAATTTCGACCAATTCCCGGCTCTTTCCAATCATATACCCCGGTTTCTGCGGATGTTTGAATAGAAACACACATTGAACACATATTTTTATTGGTAAAATGGTGAAAAAAAACTTACGACAACATTCTTTGACCAGTTTGCACAAGAGATCGCGATTACAAATGGGCCATTGTTTGCACTTTTGATCACAAACCCGGTTCATTGTACTCATTTGATTCAAATTATTCAAAGTACTGCTCAGCGAATAGTGTGGAAAAGCGAGGAAACCCCATTTTAATGCGTTTGCGGTGTCGGCCAATTTAAATGCCGGAAATGACATTGCCATTATTACAAAAAAGACGGTGATTCCTGTAGGATAACGTGAATTTGATTCTATTAATTAAAAAAAAAACAACAATTTGATGCTGGTACTTTACCTGTGAATATGAAAAATATGGTCATTCGTACAAAACCGGTGGATGGAATTGAAAACATAAGTGACGCAATGAATGTCAATGGTAGCATGGAAAATCCAAAAACGACAAGTGAAATAAAAGCGGGCGTTAGATCTTCAATAGTCGACCAGCCATCCTCTTGAAATGCAATTAAGGTGATCACCAAAATCAACGCCGTTAAAATATACGTTGCAAAATCGAATATAAACGATGTTATCCAAAATGTTGACACATTCAATCCGCTGACAAATTGCAATAGTTTTGCCTTTGAAACTCGTTCTTTGATATAGAACATGATATAGAATGATGATACGAATGCCATTGCAAATGAAATATTTGTGGCCAATTGAAAGCCCATATTATTTCCAGCCATTAGCATTGACATTGTTGATTCTATCCGGAATGGCAGTGGCCAGTTAGTGACTTCAATGCTATACTCCTGACCAAGAGTAGATTTCAGCATTGCATTATGAATCAATCCGAGTGACAATGCGGTTGTATGGAACGGTTGATTATTAAACCAACCGATAATTTCACTTTTGTTATTCAGCGATAATCCGGCCAAATACTGCGAATTCAATCGAACAAGAATCGATTTTGCCAATACCAAGAAATGCTCTTGAATGTCGGTTTCAAATTGATCGACTTGATGGTTGGAGCCTTCATTTTCAATATTTTTCTGATACTCCGTGAAAATGCTCTTTATTTGCTGATTTGGAAAATCTTTTACCGTTTGCAGCATAGTGACCGTTTTCTCGTATCGACTCAATGAAATGTCCAATTTCGGTAGTTTATTATTTTCGGCCATCATTCGAACGACAAAAACGCTAATCACAATGAATGTAATTGGAATTAAATTTTGCAAAAAAAATAAAACCCAACTGCGTATCCAGCAATAATATCGCTTTTTAAACATTGCCAACCATTGATTCACGATCAAATTAAAACCGCGCATTGTTGGTATCACTTCATTTGATACTTCCGCATCGATCGTCATCGTACTATCACTGTCACGATTCATTTTATAGTTTCCGTTCATTTCACCGTTTGCTCGACCGGACGTCAGGTGGCTCAAGTTTGAATCAGATCCGACTTTGAGAAAAACTTCTTCTAATGTGGTCAACGACACACCAAAGCTTGCCAATTTCAGTGTTTCTTGGTTGTCTTCCAGTTTTTGGAATAATTTCTCGAATTTATCAACATGCTCATCGGGCAACGCGTATGTCAATTCACTTGCAATGTCTTCTTGTATCTCAACTTCAGGAATATAATTGCGGAGTAAATTCGTCACATTTGTTGAATTACAATTATCACTTTTAACGCAAACCAAACGATAGCCCGTTCCAAATCTTTTCTTTAAAAAGAATGAAGTGCCGCTACATTTCAGTTCACCATCGGCCATAATGGCGATTCGATCACCGAGCACATCCGCTTCGTCCATGAAATGCGTTGTCAATAGAATAGTTCGACCTTTTTTCTCTTTTTGTAACAAATCCCAAAGGGCACGGCGCGCCGCTGGATCCATTCCTAAACAACAACAAAATAAAATAAGAATTAATCATATTCACGCATTCATCTGCATATAAAAAAATTTCTCTTCTTTTATTTTTTTTGACTGAAAGATTCAAAAATTTAAATGGTGAAAAACCGATCGCAGTCAATTGTTATTTTATTTTTTACCAGAAGTAGGTTCATCGCAGAAAACCACTCGTGAACGTCCACACAAAGCGACACCAACCGATAATTTTCGTTGCATTCCACCCGATAGAGACGATGACATCGCATCTATCTTTGGCTCCAATTCCAATAGTCGAACATATTTTTCCACTTCCACTTGTACATCTTCATTGCTCAAACCTTTCAATCGACCATAAAATTCAATATGTTCACGCACCGTCAATTCATCGAATAAAATATTGTGCTGTGGACATAAACCAATTGAACTTCTTGCTTTTTTTAAATTCGAACGAATATCATAGTCATTGATAATTGCCGTTCCAGACGTGGGCGGAAACATTCCGGTTAACATTGACATTGTGGTCGTTTTTCCAGCACCATTATGACCCAGTAGTACCGTTATTTGATCGTCAAACATATTAAGTGTTAATCCTTTACACGCCACTTTTTTGTTGGCATACACTTTACGTAGATTTTTCACTCTCACGCCAGCTCGCCGATTTGAAGGGTCCGGTTCAAAGTTTAAACGAATTAAATCGGCATTTTGTTGATTTGATGTGCCTGAGCTGTCTTCAACGCCAGTGTAGTCGGCAATGCCACACCAAAAGTCAGCCGTAAATGGAAAATACCATTTCTCTGGCACTCCATAATTTCCGGGCAACACTTTTTCAACATACAAGGCAATTAGCAGATAGACAATGGATGTTCCGAGCATAAAAACCATGGTCATACCAACGGTGAGGGTGTCATCGACAGTGACTGGTCGCCAGAAATTCGACCATTGCAACCCTTCGCCGGTTCCCTCAAATCGTAGAATCAATTGAAATCCATATGCCATTGCTGTGTTCGATGAAATGCACGCAATTAGCTTTGACCTCAACGAGAGTTGAACATAATTTTGTTGCGTAAAAGAGAATGGCACATACAATATGAACCATACAAGACCAGCCACGGCCGCCGCTGTATTCGCTTTCGAAAAGAATACACTCAACATGAAACAATATGTTGTCATTGATATGCTGTAGACAAACAAAAATACCCAAATCGCCGTCCAATCCGAATTCGTGAACACTGCAACTGCCGACTCGAACATGGGTGTCTAAAATTTAACGGATAGTATAATTTGTTTTATTGATGATTGAAAAAATGCAAAAAAAAACTATCTTTATTACCTTCAGCAATGCAACGATACAAGTGATAGAAACCACCATAAAAGTCATTGTGCGTACGAACCAACTAGACCAATGCAACCATGATGGCAAACCCATGATTTTCATTGCTTCCTTAAGCTGTTTCTCTTTTTCGATTGCAATGAATCGTACGGTATTGATGGTTGGATAGATGAAACTTAATAGTATAAAGAAGCTTACAATTGTCTCTAAGCCTTGCAGCAGAACATCGAAAATATATGGCGGATATGGATAGCGTTGCATTCGAATTTTTGGCAGTGTGCTATTTTCACAATTTTCCGTGCTACATTTTAGCTGAGCAAATGAACGTGCGATGGCATCTTGTACGGGTAAAAAACCTTCTTGATAATAAAATGGCATTCCGCCGTAGTCTTCTTCACGGGTTCTGGGTCCACCGGTCGAAAAAAGTGGATACAGTAAATTTGTATGCCAGTTGAATATCAATGGTTCAGTTACTTTTGGTGTTCGACTTTCACTTGGGAAACGTAATTTGTATGCGAGCTTCTTGGGAAGATCTGTAGCATTCTGTAAATTTTGTGTTGACAAAAAAAATTATTCATTTTTAAAAAAATCAAAAATTCTTGTTCAAAAAGAAGAAAAAAGCTGATAATTACAACTGGTAAATCAAATTCAACTCCCGCTACAAGCTCGCGAGTAAACATTACAGCCTCGATTTCGGCCGAACTATTCACAGCCACAACACCTCCTTTAAGCTCTAACAAACGCGCCGTTTCTGTCATTAGTTCTGCCAGTTGCCCATTATCCGGTGAATATACCAATGCCCATTCCTTTACATGAATATCATGATGGGCCAATTCTTCCGAGCTGCCCATTTCGAATTGGAAAAATCAAATCATTTTTTAATTTTATCTTTAATAATTCAGTAATTTTATTATTCAAAATAATGAAGAAAACTACATAAGTTCAAGAGAAAATGTGCAATCGATATTAAAATAATTGGTGTATTAGTATCGGCTCGTGCATCTATACAATGGTGAACCGTTTCAAATCAAGGAAATTCGGTTAAAACGAATCAAATTAATTGCTATCTGTACTGTTAGATCAAATCAAATAATTAGTCATATTTTTTTATGTGATTAGAATACACCAAAACCACCCATTGTTTCGATGTTATTTCGAAAATGCATACCTTAGCAAAAATTTGAATTCAAACGAATAATCGGTTCCTTCGCTGAATGCCGCAATAAAAGAGAATAAAGTTCGAAATTATAAATGGTGTTCAACATTTTGAAATGTACACACAGAGAAAAGTGTGCGCTACAAAGCAACTAATACTCAAAATTAGAGTCATGCAATCAACAACGAGTTTTTCCCTGATTGACGCTATATATGGAAAGTACAACAACAATAATAAAAGCGCTGTGTTTGGTTCAAGGTCAACCAACGCTTGCGCTCTCTGTTTCTCTTCTCTTACTCACTTTTCGCTCCGTCAAACAAACGAATGACTAAACAAAAAAAAAACGCTTTGTAATTGCATAAATGCCGTCACACTGACCCAAGTCATATTAATTGCTCTGGCGAGCAATTCGATATACTTCTCTCTGAACGATTTATTTGATTTTTTTTCGGTCAATATGAAATTCAAAATGCTGCAATCTCAAAAGGTTTTCTTTTCTCTTTTTTCTATGAACAACATGCTGCGTTGCAAGGTAAAAGATCTGCTGTATTGGTTCGAAGGTAAATTTTTTTGACTTGTTTTCATTTGAGAAATACTAACCGAAGTGGCTGCAAAGTACTGATGTCAAATGATTTGTAAATGGTTTCGTTCGGATATAAATCCGGACTCACAATACTTCGAATTAGAACAAGAATTACACTGAACAACACTGGCACCAAAACCTCGACAATGGTCTGTACTTTGTGACGATACTGTAGCAAGAAATTTTTCCACATTAACAGACGAAATTTATCGAAATTGCTGGCCATTTTTCGATCTACATGCATCGGTGGTGCGACATTCGTTCCCATATTGATGATACTGCTCTCGTTATTTAATGGCTCTGTACAATCATTGGTGTCAATTGACGTCGATGCTGTTTTACTATATGACGGTGATAAACTACGTCGATTCCTATTACGGTTGTGTCGTTGCTCTTCCTCGTCTCCGCTATCCCCATTCACTTGCTCATAATCTAAACACGAGCAAAGTACACAAAACGTTATGAGATAAACAATGTTTTATTTAAATAATGCGTAAAAAATGGAAATTAATGTAACTATTTATACACTGATTCACAAACTAAAAACAAATTTAAAATAACAACCTATTGTGGATTTTTTCGCCATGGTTTCTTTTTTTTTGTGTGAAAGAGTACGTGATTTGTACGATGTAAACAGCAATCGATAATCCAATGAAACAAGTGAATCAACAGAACAAAATCGAATTTTATATCATTTCGAACTAAATTAAACACATCAGTCGAACCAAACAAGTGCTTTGAAAATTTAAACTAAATACGAATCTATCTCAATGCGAATGCAATTATTTTTTCCACAATTTTTTCTTTATTTTTTATTGCATTTTTCACTAGCAGTTGAAATTTAATCAATAAAATATGACATGCTACAGTACAAATGATACATTCAATCGGCTGTTTGTTTGAAAACACGTTCATAACAGCCGCTTGTTATACACAAACTAAAGTGGCGAGAAGTAAAACCATCTTATGCTTAGTTGAGAGAGTGAGACTAGTGTTCACGACAACGTGGAATGTGAATGAATAGCAATACAAACAGCATATGTATGTATGCAAAGGTATGGGAGAAACGTCAAAAACCGCATATGTACGTTGTATACAAACAAATCAACTTACATCTATTATGTAATACTATTCTCACAACATACGACCAAACGAATCACATGACTTCGCTCTCTTACCGGACGGTGATGACAACAGACAAAACACTGAGAGAATCAAAACGAAACTGAATGCGAGCAGAAAAACATACAATTCATTCCCATGCGATTTATGTTTGGATATATATCAGCGATTCAAATCAATCCATTAAAATGTCGTTTTTCGCTACCGGTCGCTTGACTATTATATCTTAATTGCGCAGATTAAACAATTGTTGTTTTTTTTTTCCATAATGAATATGATATTTTTTTCTATTCTTTTGAACATAATAGTAGTGTAGAAATGAAATTAAACAAAATAGTTTGGCCACAGTAGCCGCAAACTATTGACGCATCAAGTTTCTTGTTTTTTCCTGTATTTGTCATCATTCATTTTAGCTAACGTCATCTTCGCAATGTTTGTACAAGATTTGTCGATGCTTAAGCGAGATACTATTCTTAGAATTGTGCATTTCACACATCTTCAATACGAGAGATCCGCTGTTTTTATTACACTTGCTTGTTTTTACAATGTAGTGCACGTGCACTTACTTTCATGTAGTTCATTTTTATTATTCCGTAATAATTCATAAAATGCATAATGAATAACACTTTGCAGGATAATTGTTATGTTACACATGAATATTTATTATTTTTACTTTGGCGTCAAGTAGTAAGTTAACGCTCAAATCGATAAAGTAACCTTTTTTCCAATCGTCTCGTTTTTTTTCTCTCACAATTTATCAAAAGGTCAAGGTTTGTTGCGTGCACATTTCTATTTTAAATAATTAATAGCAATGTTAAATTTAATGTTTGATTTAAGAACTGGATTGTTCATATAAACAAAAATGGGCTAGATTTTACTATATTTTTATATTATTGTTTAAACATTGATCACTCTTAGTTCGCCACTTGCCATTTGTAACCAATGTATATTCTCGGTATCTTTTCATTCTGCTCGCATATTACCAGTTCAATTTCAATAATTACAAATGAACTCAAGATTGAAATAGAGGTTGAATGAAATGAATATGTTCTATTGTTTTAAAAAAAAATTGAGAAAAATTATTCCGGGTGAAATACAGCAATTATTTATCATGAGAAGATAGAAATGCTGCATATTCACCTTAATTTCTTCAAAGCCACTCCTTTCAAATTACTTCGGAAAAGCCTAGCTCTTTATCGATTTCACATTTTCAACGTAACATTGACGTTTTTTTATTATTCACATTGATCACTCTCAACTGATTATTAATAGATCCATGTTTTGTTATACAATAAAAGTGTCTTCTGTTCCTTGGAAATATCGAGCAAAGAATGCATACTTTTGAGATCTTAGTTTGATTTTTTAACGAGAAAGAAATTCAATACAATAATTGGCCATTGATTTTATGACTAAAAATGGGTCGATGGAATTATTCAAACTGATAATAAAATCCCAATTTGAAGAAGTGTTACAAACTATGATTATTGATTATAAATGTTAGCTAACAATACTGAAAACCATCAGCTGTGTTCCATCGTTCGTTTTCATGTTTAAATGTGTAATTGATGTCTGTCCATAATAAAACCGTAATTTATTTCGATATCTTTTACTCAATTTGTAATGCAGGAACATTTTTAGATATTCGATAAAGCCACTTGTTGTTATGTGGTGTAATCACATAAATCATGAATGAATGAGAAATGTTACCAGCACTTGGCCATGACCTAAATTAAAAAAAAAAATGACGTGTTCAGCATCATCTCTAAAAATTAAAACATAAAAGTAAATTCGTTTTCGCTGAAGGCTACGAAATAGTCATTCTCTCACTGCAGTGTCACGCTACAATCGGGTCGAGCGTTTGCTTGTGACCAGGGTGAGAAAAAATTGCAGATCATATTGAAATCGATTGCACTTGCAAGTGCAAGTGTACTAAAGAATTACAATTTTTTTTCTGTAAAATGCGTCGTTTGTTCAACCGTCGGGCACAGTTCTTATCATACGTGTATAGTTTAAATCAATATATATCAGTCACGAGTTGATAGTAGATGACAATTAGCTTGACTTTTGTTTACATAGTGCTTTTATTTTCCCAAATCGATTCTTGCCACTGTTCGTGATGAGCTTTATCAAACACTTGACTCATTCAAACATAAAATTTAATTGGAAAGTCATCGTTGTATCTTATATTAATAGTTCATGTGCTTGTTTCATAATGAATCATTTATTTCACTTTTGAAATGACAAAAATGCACACTTTTAGTTTGAAAGGATAAAATACACACATTCATCACAAACGGAATTTTCAATCGGAATTTCCGAACAGAATTTGAAACATGAAATGTTTTATCAATTTATTGGTGACAATAAGTGTTTTTATTTATTTTTATTTTCAATGCGATAAGAAATATTATTGAATTTGTATGAAAATTGTTTGCAAGTTGCAAGAAACAACGAGAACTCATTTTATTTTAAATAATATTATGGCATATTATTCATAGAATGAATGCATCAAACGATGGAAATTATCGAATGAACTATCAATTGAAGGTGCACATCATGTTATCTGAATTTTAATATTTCTCTTATTTTTTTTTATCTTTAGTCAAATGTCAATACAATAAAAAAGTAAGGGAACTGGCTCATTACTCAGTTCAGATATTTCACTAGTTCATACTTAATAAAATAGATTATTTTTTCAATTCATTTGTCGCAATAAATATCAAAAAATGACGAAATAACTATCGTAAATCAAAATTTGTTATATATTTTGCCAAGTTTTCAATCAAATTCAACCTTTAGTTTTTTCTATCGACTTTACCATATATTTTGACAATTTCTTTCTTCCTCCCAATTCATTTTGAAACCAGTTATTACAACACTCAAATGTGAATTTTCAATTATTGAAATTGGTCAAAAATATTTGATTGTATCAGTGTAGATTAAAAAGTTTTGTCGATCGATTGGCCATGATGGGAGTATAACATGAAAATACCGATTTTATACTTGTATTATGCCATAGCCACCGATTCAAATTTATTATATGTATATTTTCCCATCACTCATTTTTAATGATATCTCCAACTAATTATGTCCATAATTATATTTATGAACTTGAATCTTGGTATATTCATGAACCTCAATCTTTGTGGCTTGATATTTTTAGTTAGCAAACGTTCAGTTTACAACTTAAAAAGAAACAAAACTGATTAAAAGTATGGTGCTTTCGCATTGAATTGAAATAAATAAATAAATCTACACTTGAAATTCGAAACAAATGGCCAACAAGCATAAAAAATTAATCCATATAATAATACGAGTAGTTTAGACTTTGTTAAATGAAACAGAAAAACCGCCATCTGTTCTGATAGCACGATTCAATGACATGCTCGCAGACACCGCAGGAAATTCCCAAAATGTATGTTTTATTCAATCGAAATTTTGTGAGTTCTTTACGATTTATCGACTGATGTTCTCCAATAGATTTCATTTCACTTTGGGTGTGATATTTTTATGTCTTTAAAATGAAACTATAAAACTTTAATTTTATGTTATTTTATATTTAAACGTTTACCTTCAAAATATTAATTGAATTTAATCCGTTTCGAGTGAAAAGCTGATGATTTATTTGAATTAAGCAATTCAAATGGGTTATTTTATTTAAAAAAATCAATAAGAAAATGATAAGAACTATATCCCAAGTGAAATTACACTGAAAACTACTGAAAATATTTGCGACAAATAAATCGAAGTGATTTCTTAAACTTGAACTAGAGCACTGAGTATTGAGCACTGGCGGCGGTCAAAAATATATAATTGCCAATTGATAATGTCATACAGTGAGTATATACGTGAATGCCATTGCGCATGCTCGTGAATCTACCGAACCAAAAATATCTATGTGTTTCGATCCGACACTTCAAACGCACGTGGATAAAGGTATACATCGATAAAAATATCGATACATATAATAAGTTGCATGTGTTTGGTCTCGGTTTGATTTAAAAGTATAAACAAATCGTAAGTATTCTAATAAAATAACCTCATATACTACTTCAAAAAGATTCACATGTAAAGGGGGAAGCGCTTATCTTACCACAACTATGCCCATTTATTATAATTAAATATCACATTAGATTAAAGCGTATTAAGTGCTTTTGAAGTTGCACTTAATTGCTTTTGTGTTCGATGCAGTGACTCAGTTATAATTATACTTATAATTTCAAGCACAAACAGAAACATTTTCATAAGCAGCACTAATCTCTGAAATTCAGATTTTGAACAAAATTACCACATCGTTCAACACCTTAAATGATCATTTCATTTCAATCTATATTAAATTATTTGAAAAGTTTATCAAAGTCTTAGTACCGGTAACCATTGCATTTCATTTCTTCAATTCTAATTCTTCGACAAGAAAACACATTTTGTAAAAACAGAAACAAAAAGGTGGGATCTGTTTCGAAATTACACAAATGTATCACATTTACTGTGTTCGTATCATTTTTCTATCTAACTGAAACGGAACACATTATCAAATTTTCAAGAGAAGTATGGGAATAAGAGTTAATAACTGATCAATCAAGTTGCAAATTTTGATCATTTGTGATTATGATAAAGTGATAAAGAGAATTTATAAAATATTTTCTATTTGGTTCCAAAAAAAAAAAAAATTACTTAACAAAACTGTAACTTTCAAAACTGTGTGTTGGAGCAAAAAGAAAAATGTTTATTTCTGAACAGAAAAATAGAATGTGAATGCGAAAAACAAAATCTCTTTTGAAATTATCTGTATTACATTTAGTTTGCGTAATCTTCAGTTTTCTTGAGCGAAAGTAAATTTGCGAACGTTTCCACTTGTGAAGGGTCGCGCCTCATACATTATTAGCATATTATTATACATGTCCTGGCACACTGATGCAACCAATTCCTGTAAGCCATCCTTTTTATAAATTTCAGCCAAGTTCTTCGCACATTTTTCAAATGTAGTTTTATGGCTGCAAAATAACAAAGGTTCACAAATCATAACTATACAAAACCATTTGGTAGTTTGTTTTTTTAATGAATTTACCTTTCAAAAAGACTATCACTATAATATGTTGTTGGATTTTTTGTATAATTTTCTTGAAATTCATTTACCAAATTATTAATTTTAGTGCCAATTTTAACTATAGCGCTGAAAAGAGAAAAGCAATAGACAATATATTCAAAAGTATTTCAATATGTAGAAGATTTGTTGATTCAACTCACTCCTCTTTCTTTAAGAAATTCGGTACTAATTTTGACATTTTAAACTTGGACTTGACTTGCGTGGAACCCATACATCTGTACAAAAATATTCAAACATTTGCTTTATATTATCTATACGTAAAGCTTACTTATATTTACATTTTCGTCCAATCTTCGATGGTCAGATCTTTTTTGGCATTTTCAATATAGCTCACATCAATTTCGACCTTTGCCACATTTATTATAGAGCTTACAGAAGTGGGATAAACGGCTTTCAGAATTGAAATATAAAATTGATAAAATGTGCTCAGATCTTTTTACATAATTAATATTCAAGATTTGAATATTTCTTCAACATTTTCATTTTAATTTCAATAAAAATGAATTAATTGATGGGTAATATTTAATATTTGTACAAACCTGGTTTTTTTGAATTACCCTATTACAAAAAGGGAACGAAAAAAAAGAGTAACAAATAATGTAAACTTGTAAAAAAAACTTTCATCTCACCCCAAAAACGACCGATATTATACACAATATTACAAAAAGTTTCAACATTTTTTTAGGTATTGGTTAAGCTTCAAAGTTTAAAACGCAATTGAAAAAAAACTGTGAGTCTTCACAAGTTTTTATATTTTTCGCTGGAATTTAAATAATGTTTTCACATTTACAAGATGTTCTTCAATTTTTCAAAAATTTAAATAATATTATTATCATATTGTTTACGAATAAAACTTACCTAATCATTAGGTTGGTTCAATTTTCAGCTGGTTATATTGAAAATATCTGGTAAAATACGTACGCACAGAAAACAAGTGAGATGACTTGCCATCTAGTTTTCATTGTATATTTCTCTGTGTTTAAAATAGCGTTTTTTCACATTTCTTAACATTTGGCCATCAGAAACACATGCTAACGTTATATTCGTCGATTTTCCTTTTTTTCAGAACGTTTTACTATATCCAGTCTCACATTTTAATTTGTACCAAAAATCGAACCACCCTATAAGTAAGGTTGCAAATATCAAGACAAATTCACATTTGGATATTTGGTGTATGTTTTTGAATATTTTCATTCGTAATTCACTTAAAATTGAACACATTTTTCCAAAGTAAATGACGCAAATACAATAAACACCTTTTAAAATAATGTAATTAAATGGAAAAATGTTTATAATTTTTATTTTCTTGCGAATGTGTTTCAACAAATATGGAATTTACAGTTTTAGAACTCAAAATATATCTTCATAAACCAAAAACATAAGCAGACAATTATGAAAACCTTTTTCTATTCTTTGCAAACAAATTTTTTTATAAAATAATTTCTTAGGAAACTCGATATAAAAGTTACATGAAAAAGCGCATCAGTCCAAAAATATAACAGCATCTTCGGATTTGGTTTCTTTTCTAATTTCATACATTGCCATTGTCATCATTATGTTGATTTTATTCAAAAGTGGTAATCTGCTATTCTCCACCGACATTGTTAAAGTGATATTAACATGAGGCGATACAAAGTCATTGTACACTTTGTCGTCAATTTGACATTTGCCCTGAACGTCATCTGTGTTAATGAAAGTGAGCATAACACCGTCTATATTATATTTGAGGGCAAGTCGAATTCGGTTTATGATCGAATGTGTATTCTGGAAAACAACAATGTTTCGCCAAAAATCAATGAAATGATGTTTCTTTTTTGCCAGTGCCATACTGGCTTCAGAGTCATAGAATTGAATCCATCCATTTGCTTCATTTGAAATAACATCACACAGCTTGTTGTATCCCAAATAGTTTCTGGTTTTGAATGCAAGGTCGAAATTAACTCCTCCAATGTTGAATCCGATGACAATTTTCGATGGAAAAACACCCATATCGAGTAAATCTCCAACTATGTTTTCGATACGTTTAATGCCATGCTCTCTCAAAGCATCGCTAAGATTATAAGCTTTACATCTATCATCAATTGGATATTCTGGTGTAAAGTGTACGAAATCGAAATTATTCGATAATATGGGAATGTACATGACGTCCATGTTCATCGTTTGCTCACTAACCCTAATTAAAAGCAGTGCTCCAGTAAATCGTAAATAGTCACCCAATCCTTTCACAAATAATGTGTATTCAGTCAAATAAATACTGAAAGAAAAAATAATTATTTAATTAAATTCATTCTTTGATGGAATTTTGAACATGATTGGTGTCTTACTTTTCTTGTGCATAGTTCCAACTCAAGTCCAATCCCATAAATTCTGATGTCATTAAGTAGGTGTACGCATTCCGGTAAAATTGTTTACGTTTTCGCTCATCCGTTGCCATTTGGGAGAAGTCAATTGGCATACTATTTACTCCTAAACAAATCTAGGGATATAAGATGTCGTTGAAAATTTTACACTCAAAATCCATGCAAATTGTTTGGCAATAAGTTTTCAATACCGAATTAAGAAAGAAAATAGGAGTTACCTTCAAATTTGGGTATTTTTTGCGAATTGTAGGCAGCTGTTTGAATATCAATCCATCAGAAGTCGTATTGAAGTAGTCATTCGAGAATTTTGTTGATCCTATTGAATTTGTTTATGGTTTTATAAAAGTTTTAACATTTTTTGAAGAAAAATTCAGAATCACTCTTTTTTAAGGTAATATACATTTGGACCTTTTTCAGCAATTACTCGCACTAGTCGTTATAAATATTTCTCTCGTTTACACATTTTTCTTCAATAGAAACTGATTGGTAACGACGTCTGTCCATATTTTGCTTAATATGCAAAGATTTCATGTGTACTTGAGAAAAACATTAAAAGCGTCTAGTCTGAGCAGATCTCAAATGAGCAAATAAAAGCGAAATTTTTCAGTTTACCTTCTTTTTCAGCATTATAATGATCCATTTCGAAATAAATGAGATGTGTGCACAGACTCAAGTCATGTTTTGTGAGGCTATATTCGGGATTTATAGATCGTTCGGCCACATTACAAATTACAACCTTTCCGTGCGATGTAATTGAAACTATATCCAATTAAATGTAATAACAGAATTAAAATCGATCAACAGAGAAACGTTTGTATAAAATACTTACGCGTTTCAGTCGCTTCTAAAATTAAAACACCGGACAAAATCGTTATGAAAATGCACCACATGATTGATGTGTGACGAACCAAAAATTCTATCAAGAATGAAACAAAGTCAAAGAGAAGAAATTGTTGTGACCAACTCGAAGTTTAACGGAGAACTAAATGAAAAATTTATAAAAAGAGGTGAAAGAAGGCCGGCAAGCTGCTAATGATGCATAGTAATTAGTACGTTGACCATAATTACATTGTGTCTGCCCCAGTGGTGCTGTAGGTCTTTAAGAACTGTTCTTATCTCGTTCATACTTACGATAAACATACGCAAACTCACCTTTTTTCAAAAGACTTAAGCATCAAATCTACCTAAATTTGAATGTTCCTTCATTTAAATATTGGAAATTCTTTCAGTTAACTTTGAAACTTAGCATAAAACCCTAATAAAACCGAAAAAAAGTAAAAGTCAAAGTCATGACTTGGAATACTTAAAGGCTCTTTCGCTTCATTTGGATATAAGTAGTATTTTTATTCGAAGAAATTTGAAACAAAAAAGTATATACAAATGTTTGTTCGATTTGAACCACTTAGACGGTGAACTGTTTGACAAAAAAAATACATTGAAATGGGATGGGTATGAATGAATACTGTTTAAAATTAAATGAATGTTTGTCCACAACGACTCGCACAAAAGCTTAGGTACAATGAATAGGCACATAATTATTTATTAAACACTATTAATTTATCTACATCATTTCATCTTTAAAAAGTTATGCTAATTAAGTACACATTTTAAGTTTGCTGTGCATCGACTTTTTTTCGGCAAAATAAATGCGAATTTACAGCATATTTGTTGTTTAAAAAAAATACTTTCTTAAATTGGAATTGAATTTATTTGGAATAAAACTTATATTGTTGGCTGGAATTGATTTTTTTCTCTTGCTCTTCTTCTCTTGAGTCAAATCATGTCTTGTCTTCATACGATTTCTAATGAGTAGTATCTAAAAAAAATATTCAAAAATGGCTGTTTTGTGCTCTCAAACGTCGTATATCATTAGCATCCCAATTTTAGCAAAAATTAATGAATTTTCGCTATTTCTCTTTCATTCCTTCTCACTGCCTCAACTATTAAAACTGTTTCTATTTACAAAATTCGCGAACCTAATATCGTATAATGATCAACTAATGAAACGGAATTGTTGTTTCTGTCTTTATTTGTCTTTAATCTAACTAACACAACTAACTTTTCCGAATGAAATAATAAGTAGGGAAAAAACTCTATATGCTAAATGACATTATTTCTAAATATGAGAGCTATTAATCTCGACTTTAACTCTAGTAATACAGCAATACTAAATCTAAATTTCACATTCAGTTCAACTGAAATGAAAAATAGAAGATGTTAAGTAAAAAAAAGTAAATCGTAGTAAACGTTGACGTTTTAGACGATACTTGATCGGTATTTTAAATTCCTGGTAATTGTTTGGTTGCAAATCGAAATTCGGTTTCGATGGGGTCAGATTTTCGATGCAGACGCTGTGATTGCGTTGTGTGGTGATTGAGCGCCATTTGATTGTCCATGCTGCTCTCGAATGGTGACTTGTGTTACAAATGGACCACGATTTCTCATACTGCCACCATGTGAATTGGGCGACCGATATTTTAACGGCGACTGACCGTTGTGAATTTTTCGTTGACTTCCATTCAGCGCTACATGATGGTTGAAATTGGATGTTGGTGGCGTTGTTATATTTGGATTGTAACTGCCGATGCCGCCATTGTATTGAAACGTTTCGTATTCGTAGTAGGTTGACGTTGGACGCTGATGATGACTATTCAAATCAACGGTTCGGGTTGATCGTTGCGAATGATAGTGTTGATGCCGCCGACTGTAATTTTGGTACATTGGATTTTTTTTGTTTTGGTTTTTGGAGGATTTACATTTCAATTAGAATTTTTGTTTCTTTTCATTTTGATTTTTATGTGTTATTTGTTTTTAGTTTATTGCAATGTTATTTTCTTTTGCTGCAAACGCAATTTTCTAGATATATGTGACACACAAAACAAGTTTTTTTTTTTTACAAGAAAAACATATAAATGTTTGTTTTATGAGGTTATGAAACGTGCGGTGCATAAACACATGAAATTACGCATAAAAAAGAAAACAAAAAAATATGAGAGTTAATTGCAAACATTAATATATCGTGCTTGATGATTATGAATTTTATTTAAAACAAAATAATGGTATCAATTACAAATTTATAATGGGGGTGGCTAATTTGTTGGTTTTTTTGGAATGATGAACAAGGAAAAAGTGAGAAGGGATAAAAATGTTGTTTGACTAATATCGCCAAGGGATTGTGATAAAAACACAAGAATCGATTCGGTTTTATTTTCTGTTTAAACGACTCACATTTATTTAAATCTAAATACCAATTACTAATCTCCATGCAAATATGGAATAAACGGTGTTCAAGAGATTTTTCAATTGACAAATGAATTAAATAAACATTTTATTCTCTTTACGATTTTTCTAAAAACATATCGACATCGATAAGAATGTCATCTATTTCAATTCTAATTCGGTATATGGCAAATGGTTACATTTTTAAAACACACAAAATTACATGTATCTACTGTTTAATATAATACGAATGTCAAAATGGACTGAACAAGAGGTTTGAAAAGTTTCAATTAAAAATTTGTTGCTAAGCTTTTATTTCATTAACAATTGATCGATTCTTTGCGCGGTCAAATGCTAAATACGGTAATTGATTGTGGTTGTGGTGGTGGTGTTTGATTGTGCAAGGAATGCTTGAGTGTGTGTGTGTATGTATGAACAAGATGTACTACGGGAGTCTAATTTTCAAACTAAATTTTGATCCAGCAGATTGTGTTGTATTAATGGAAGTTACATTTACCTTTCCTCTTCGACCTTCACCCTTTGTTGCATTACTTGTAGACGCATTTGCGCTAATGTTGATTCGGATAATTGCTCATTTTGAGGAGGCGGACTGTCGTGCATTACGTGTGTAAAAGTTCAATTTTTTTTTGGTTTTGTATTAAAAAATGTGGGTTAGATTAAGAAATATCGAATTAATTAAATTGATTAAATATACGATTGATCAAAACTAAATTTGGCAATTTCTATGGTTAAACATTTAAGAATTGTGTGTATGTGTGTTTGTGTGTGTGTCTAATTGAATTTTCGTTAGAAGTTAGATCGAATTGTTGTGTTAATTTTTAGTGCTTTTTTATTGGTATTCGGTTAATTATCAAGATCATCTACGTTTGTAGTGCTACTTATGTATTCGTCAAATGTGTAGAAAATGGTTGAACCATACCTAATTTGTTGCTGCAATTCATCGTAGTTAACATAGTGCGAGTACCGATGATTAAATACGTCATTCTGATGAATTCCATTTGATGATGCGACCGGTATGCCAACAGCAACCGGTGGTGGTGGCTGATAATTTGGCGGTTTGCCACGACCCGATGCATTCAATCCATTCGATGACAATGTTGACAATTTATTTTCTTTGTTCGACGATTTTGACGGCAACGTAATATTCATGGTTGCATTCGGATCAAATGAATCGACCGCTGCAATGCCATCTTTTCGATGTTTACCGAAACGGAACATGTGTCCAATGCCACGCAAAATGCCTGGTTTCTTTGCACGTTTATTTTTGCCCTCATTCAAAGAGCTCTGGAATGGACCGTGACGATTCATGAAACCGTCATCATGTTCGTTTGATGTTGTGTTTGCATTTCCTTCGAGTATCCAATGCTTTCGCGATGCTGTTTAACAAAATTGAAATTTAATAAAATACATCTCGAAAATGATTGAAAATTTAACATACGTCTTTCGACTTCGGCACGAACAAATTCATCTCTGCCTCTGCCTCTGGGCGTTCGCAATGCCGATGGTCCTCTGGGCTCATCGGACAATTGAATTTCTTGTACGATTGTTTGAAGCGATTCCAAACTCGACGATTTTTTCATACCAAGCGATGGTCCCAGGTCTGTGATACGATCGAGGGCCTCTCGGCTTAGGTCAGAATTTTTCGAAGTATTCTTCACGGCCGCCACAATTGATTCCATCGATCCAAGTGTGGCTATTGTTTTTGGTCGAGCACGACGCTCACGTTCTTCACGCATCTTTTTATTGCGTTGATATGTGTCAGTTTCCTTGGCATCGAGTGCGGCATGATGCTTTTCTGACATACTGCGTCGTCCAATGGCATCCCGATTGAATGGATCAACCGGTGGATTTGTTTCCAATGACAATTGGCTTGAGTATGTTGTTTCGCATGGATTTGGTGATGATGGCGATATTGGTTGCTTATGTATACTATGGTTCGAATCGTGCGTTCGATTCAGTGTTGCGTCCATATTGAAAATACTGAAAAATTGAATATTCATTAGATCTGCACCTCGAAGCAAGGTTCTTTAGTGATACTTACGGTGCTAATGGTTCTTGATCGTCTTCGATTAGAACCGAGTTATTTTCTTTCATCTGCATTGGACTCCATGTATCATTTGTTGCCATGTAGTAACTATCGTTGCGTAAACCACTCGATACAGCCAAGTGTGGCATTCCGTTTGGTTTTTGGTTCACATGATTTACAACACCGCCAGTTAATCGATCCAGTACCGGATTGCTCCATCTATTTGAAAAAAAAAAAAAAAAAACATTGGACATTTCATTTTTGTGTCTACTAGAAAGGGTTTTATCTCAAAAGAAAAAAATACTCACCTGTTCATGGATCGTTGTGAGCTGGAATTGCCATTTTTCATGATGTGCATCGATTCGGTGTGGTTGTTTTTGTCGGGACTTAAGTAAATTACTGTTTTTCCCGATTGTTCACTAGCACTTGATGTTGAATTATTGCTTAGTTCGTGCGCTTCGATTGTACTGTTTGGCCGGATGATACGGCGTGCTACTTGTAGTGTGATCATTTTTGGATATTTTCCGGGAAGATGTACCATTGTTTTGCGAAGCGTAGCCATGGCTTCAGCATTCGATTGTCCGAGTAACGAAACACCGTTTACCATCAACAATTGATCGTTCATCTTGAGTCGACCGTCACGCGATGCAGCTCCACCTTTCAATACACTTTTTACAAAAATGCCCAAATCACCGTCGGTTCGTGAACTATTGCTTTCATTCGACGAATTTTGTGAACCAGTTTTTCCTTTGACACTAACGCCAAGACCTGCCTTTTCAGTATCATTCACTGGAATGTGAAGTGTGAGTATTTCACGATTGCGAAACGAAAACGAATGATTTTGTTCACTTCCCTAAAGAGGAAAATAAATTGATAAGAATTTGTTTGGTGTGTATTATCAAATCGGCTTACATTTGACGATATCGATTCACGGCAAATCTCTTTCAGCGGGGTGTGCATGTTTGTGTTTTCATCGAATGATGTTGATGATAGATCGAGTGACTTCTTTGCCGACTGCCTTAAAATTGGTTTCTGCGGTAAAACGGGTGGCGGTGGTTTTGGTGGCGTTGTTTTGTCATTTTCTTGTTCGCAATTGATCTGAAAAGAAATAAATCATTTAGTAAAATTATTTTGTATCGAATATATTTTTTGTTCGTCGACTCACTTCACTAATGACGTCTTTATCATCCGATAATTCGCTGAGATCCTGTTGCCTTGAAACGACCAATCGTACGGTCGAACCGGTTTTTGTGGCTCGCAGTATTTCCACAACTTCGCTTTGTGACTTGCCAGTCATCGTAACGTTATCAACTTCAAGCAATCGATCACCGGGTCTTAATCGTCCGTCTTCGATGGCGGCTCCGGCCGATAAAATTTTCTTAATATAAATCAATGAATCACCGCCCGTCTGATGATCTCTTGTCGTCACACTAAAACCAAGCCCCTTCTGTCCTTTACACAATTCAATTTCAATTTTGCGTCCGATTTTTCTTTTATTATTATTTCGTAAGGCAAGCGCATTTGATGACAATGCACCGGGTACTTTGCGTGTTGGCGATGAGTTTGCGGATTTTGTGGCTGCTACTTGTTGTTGTTGCTGTTGCTTTTCCTCAGCTTCGACCATATCGTCAATTTCTTTTTTCAATTTCTGAATAAGATTTGTCGTCTTGATCACACGCATTCTCAGTTCGGGTGCAGCACAATTTTGTCGTAGATAATCTTGTATCGAACTCTCCGATACTCCGATCAATTTAAATCCGTTTATTTCCAAAATACGATCACCACGTTGTAAACCGCCACGTTCGGCCGGACTGTCTTTGTCCACATTTTGCACGAGAAGTCCACCATTTTTCGGATCTGGTATGGCTGACAAGCCCAATGGGCCACGATTTTCATTGATTATCAATAGCATTTTGCCATTTTTATCTCGAATCGATTCGTATGCTTGACCCAATGGTTCGCGTCGTTTGGCCAATTCACGTGGCAACGATTTTGATGTGTACGCTTGTGATGTGGCCGAATTTTGAACTTTTTCCGCTGCATCCATCCACTTGTAACCGTTACCATCACCCAAAAATTGCATCGACAATCGGCCAGACCGTGAAAATTGCGATGGTGTCGTTTCATTATTTGGACTTTTCGGCACTTGCAATTGTTGCTGTTGTGATGGTGATTCATATTGTTGTGTTTCCCATGATGGCGACAATTGACTAGCATTTGTCTTTCGATCATCGACGGTGACGGCTAATAATCGATCCACTTGATCCGTTTCGCTTCGGCACACTGGTGCTGCCGACCAACGTTTTGTTGCATCATTATATGGGCTAAAATTATTCACAATCGGATCATTCGGAATTTCCATACCAAGCTGATGCAGCGATGGATCACTGCTACGTCTGACTTGCAATCCCACTCCGGACGTATTCATTTGATTGGCATCGGTTACCTCAATATGAGGTGCAATATTATTCGTATCAGTATTGGTGGCATGTGTGTGTTGTGAACCGTATTTGGTTTCATTTGGTGGTGCATAAAATATATCGGGACTGCCTGTTCCGACCGAACTACCGCTGGCTCCATCGCCACCGCCTTGTGGTACGCCCGGATCCGGTCCGGAATCTTCAAAATTTGCTACAATCAGCTCACGATCATCGGCCACATCGTTAACTTGATCATCAGAATCGAGTATACCACCCGATTGTGTTTCTAAATGGTGTACAACTGTCCATGAGTCAGGATCCTGCAGATAAAGAAATGAAATCAATAAATATTCGGAAAATTGTTAAAAATAACAAAACAATTGAAATAATCTATATATAGCTTTTAGTGGAAGGAACTTTCGATAAGCAACTAACAAATTGCGCTTTAAATGACCGTATCACATTTGTTTATCGTTTTTTGTTTTTGTTTTACTCTTTTCTATTTCGTCGAAAATACCACATGAGCAATGTCAACAAAGCAGTTCTCATTCTCATATGTGTGTGTGCGGTTTATTTATGCACTTGAAATTATCGTTTAGATGTGCTATCGTTTGCGGAAGAAAAAATTTGTTTGGTTTTGGGTTTTTTGGTTATACCGTGGTCGATGTATCAGCAGCTTGATCCGATGAGCTTCCGCTTCGTGATAATGTCAATGAGTGTCTTTTGTTTAGATATGATGTGTGCGTAATGCCTTTTTGTCGATGATGTACACGATATGTTTGGCGCCAACTAAACAATCCAGTCAATTTGTCGGCCAATGCCGGACATTTTGGTGGCACGTCGAACATTTTTTACCAATTTCTTTCTTTACATATTACAAATCAACACTATTTTGCAAACGATTTTCAAATGAAATCTGATGCGTCGATGAACGTTGTTCAAACTGAAGAAGTACACACGAACAACTGATGATGTACAATCATCACCGTAAACATTGTTTGGATGATTTTTTTTTTTCGTTCAACAAAATGTATGTTTCGTTTCACTTTGACCTCATTTACATGTGATTTTCTGTCTGTCTGTATGTGTATTTGTCTTATGCGTTAATTACACTGGCTGGAAAGATGAGACATGCAAACATGAACATCACTTCAATTTCGAGCATTGTTTTTCTCTCTCACTTCATTCAGGTATTTCTTCAAAAGGGCTTTTTTCGTGCACAATGTTTGCTTTTTTTCGTTTTCTTTTATTCGGTGCGCGTGTAATTAAATTTGCATATATTTCAACAATGGAAGAAAATAATAGAGAATAAAATGTCTTACATCCGTAAGATGAACTTTTCCGCACTGTGATCCACGACATGAAAGAAAACTAAATCTGACATTAGTTTTAGATAAAAATAATTTTCGAAGCACTTTTCTTACAAAAACTACTAAAGATGGGAATTTTTGTATCGGAGCCATGCCTATATGATATCGTAATCATGTGAAAATTTGCAGAGGTTATTTTTTTTCACAAAAAGTTAACATTCTGAAAGTTTGAAGAAATTTCAATGCATATTAAGGGTACTTCCCATACAAAATTTCGTTTTAGAGCGAAAAATCCAAAATATTGTTCGGGAGGTGCCCCTAATATTCGTTGAAATGTCTTCAAACTCTCGGAATAGTATTTATGTGTGATAAAAATAACCTGTGCAAAGTTTCAGCTCATTACGATATCATACAGGCATGGCTTCCATACAAAAATCCAAATTTTTTGAATTTTTTGTATGAAAAGTGTTTCGAAAATTGATTGTATCGCAAAATTAACGTCATATTCGGTTTTCTCGTACCCAAAAACCCCCCAATACACATTTTTGAGTGTTTAAGAATACATTAAATATCACTTTTGGAAGAAAAATTGAATTTTTCCCATGGATGGACATGGGCATCACACCAGACATGACACTTTACCCTGTCAACCAAAGTCGCTCAAAATCTAATGGTTTCTATTCCTCGGCACCCCCAATCATCCTGTGAAGTCAGATTTTGAATTACTTTTCTTGTTTGAAAGTTATCGTGTTAACAAATTTTTGCGTACAGGGTACAGCGTACAGCGTACAGCGTACAGCGTACAGCGTACAGCGTACAGCGTACAGGGTACCACGCACATACATTCGGACATCGAAAAAACGCTAGATTCGTGTTCCCTGGCTCCTAAAACACCCAGAAAACATGTTTTTTGAGGGTGTTAATTTTTCGACCGATTCCAATACTTTACCTTACACACTAGGTGTGTGCGGAAAAGTAATATCTGACCAAAATTGAGATAATAACAGACACACAAGCTGGACAAATAAAATGATCAACCGACTGAATGAATTTCAATTGATTTGGTGTGTGAGCGCGCGTGAATGTGTGCAAATCGACTTCAAAACCAGCAATTGCAAACAATAAACACAATAATTATATAAAAATCGTCATTTCACAACGCCAAACACAAAATTCGATTTTCGCTACCCGATTCTCTTTGTTGCACGTTTAGGAATTGCGTAATCAATGAAAAACGCTCTACATAGTTGATTTTTGGTTAACAAGAGAACAGTCTTTTTTTTCGGCATTTATCATACACCGAACAAAAATACACTAAACACTAACCGATACAGTGGAAATCAGTGAAAAGCAAATGGTTTAATTTAGCACAACAAAAATAAACCTTGGCCAATGGAAAAAAACAACAAAAATCAATACACTTTGTCTGCCAATCAAACTGTATGCGCAATTATCAATTATAAATCGACGAATCGTGAAGTGAAAAACGACGAAATATTATTTCATATTTTGCTGTTCGGAATAACTTTCGAAATATGCACGGGATCAATGGCGATAGTATGTCTGTGTGTGATGATGAAAAATCCGCTACGTCGAAGAGCAAAAAATCCAGACAAAAAAACAGTGTTTGGTTCACAATCTCAAATCGAAAGTCAGATAACTGTCGAACATGACAAGATCTTTTACACTAGTGTAATACACCGAGCATCACATCAGCCAAAACAACAACGGCAGCGACATCGATATAATAAGTCGTATGAACAACCGTAAACACCGACTGATGAACGAACGATTAAGAATACAAATTGCTCGACTGAACCACATTCAGGTGAAAAAACCGACTGAAATTACATCGGCCGTTGTTGTCGTCACAGAAACAGAAGAGACCCGAACACATAGTCTGCTTCAGTTGGCGTAAGTGTGCGTGAGAGTGTTTGTGTGCGAGTGAGTGCACCACACACCGAGACAGAGAAAGAGAATGAACATCAGATGAAAATGATATTATTTTTGCTTAAAATAGACAATAATTTTGTGTTTTGTTATCGTTGTGTGAGCATGTTGAAAAACAACAGAAAAAATGATGATTTTTCTGTTGTTTGGCTGTTGCCATTGTTTGACAGATATCTGCTTTAGATGTTTTTATTGCTTCGAAATGCTCGTTTTTTTATATTTATTTTCATTTTGTTGCCTGATATGGATTTATACCTGCTGTTTTGCGATAGTTCGCACGACCATTTCAACGTTCAACACAGAGTGACGAACACTTTCACGTCGATTGTCATCGTGCGCACAACTACCATCAACATTACTTCACATCGAGTCTTGCGGTATTTAGGTTTATATATACGTACAAGGAGACGACGACGACAGTATTTCGTAATGACTACAACAACCACACGAAAAAAACAATTAAACCACACTTGTTGATATACATTGGCAACCGTTCGTGTGCTCTGGTCTGCGCATTCAAATGACTCATTCGACTATGTATTGGTTTTTTTTGGCTTATCAGCAGTTTAACGACAATGAAGAAGACGATGACGACGACATGCAACGGTAGCTGTGCGTATACTTAACCGAAAATTGCGTCTATCAACAACAACACAAACACAGCACCACATTATGATGTTTGAATGATTTTGGTGTCTTTGAATTTCCTTGTCGTTTCTTTGTTGTCATTGGCATGTCAACAATAATACCTTTTTTTATCAAGTTTAACGGAGGGTATTTCGTTAAAAAAATGTTTTTTCTTCCTTGAGTCTTTGTTATTGTATAAGGAATTCTTTCATTTGTTTGAGCGTTGAAGAATGATGAATGTTTCTTTGATTCTCTTTGTCATATCAATCATCGCATTTTTCAGGTCGAATTTTTCGTTTCGGTTTTATTTTGTTCAATTCAACTAAATTCTTCGTGTGAAATGGGAAACAACCTCTTTTCTTTTATTGAATGGAAAACGAAGAGTTTTCTCACATTGAAAGAAGTCGGATCGTCTATTTGTCTTCGTGACAATATATTTTATTCAAAGCGACAAATCATTGAGACTCCGTTTGCATCGATTTCCTGTGCGCTGTTTTTGTTTAGTCAAATAAAAAAAAGCGCAAACGATTGAAATGTGAACATTCATTATTCGTCGAGCCATATTAAATATCAAGATTTGCATAAACATGTGCAAATAACAAACCCATATAACTAAACCCATTCTGATCAATCCGTATTGTGGGATAGTTACGATCACAATGCTCAAAAATTGATCGGTAACATAAAATGCGAGGTTTTTGATCATCGCTTTCTCTCTCTCTCTTTCTTTCTCCCTCTTTCTCTCTCTAAGTAATGCAGCAAGTAATAAACGCAGAGAGAAAGAAAAAAAACTCTCTTTATCTGCTTTTAGGGCAAAAGTGGCAATTATGTTTATTCTTTCCCCATCGTTCGTCTCTATTCGACACCTACTTAAAAAACCCGCCATGTAACAACAATGATTGACTGATTTTTTTTCATCTACATCAGCATGAATTTATGTTGTGGTTGCTGCTTCAAGCCATCTTTCGAACTCGATACCATCATAAACACGATCGAAAGAATTTGTTGAATGAACAGAATTGTTTGCATAAGAATTTATCTCGAAAAAAAAAACACTTATACACATATCATCCAATAGCAAACATGAAATGTGTTGTTTTTTCTCTAAATTTTTTTCTTCATTCAAATGTCATTACATGGTAGAAGAAAAAAACGCGATCGAAAATAAATGTGTTCAAAGTGAAAGAAAAGAAATTTTTTCAAATTTTTCCACCAAAGTGAAAGAGTAATTGACGTGTACAAGCCGAAGAGATGATGAAGAGTAACAAGAAAAATGGGCTAGCGATCGTTCAAGTAGAAATACTACATATTCCGAAACGTTTATAGATTTTGTCGATTTTTTCTCTAGCACATACATTTCCTTCACTTTGGCAATTATTTCAAGCCATTTTGCATGCATGTTTGACAGTTAGAAAATTCGCTTTGAATGAAGT